ATATATATATATATAATCTGTGTGTGTGTGTACATATATATATATATATATATATGTATCTATATATGAGTTTATAGAACTTTCTGAATTTTACATTCCAAAAATCCAATGATTTTGAATTAAAAAATATTGAGATTGGAGATGAGTCTCTCAGAAAACACTTAGTGAACTAGTACTTTTAACAGTGTAAGAGCAATTTACTTCCCAAGGATTCTTGTTTTATTGAGTGCCTGGAATAAATTATTCTAATTACGTTTTCTCTGTCTCTATGTTTTCTCTTTGTCATCCTTGCCATCATGCTGGGGTACACTTTGCATGCTATCCAAACTATAATTTGTATGGCAATTATTTAGTTCCTCACAGGTATTTTGATATCAAAGATATCACTCACAGATATTTTGATATCAAAGTAGTCACTCAGTTTTGTATCAGTTGATTTTCTTAGTACTTCCACAAAACTGAAGCATAGTCATATTTCTCTGGTGGACCACTGGCATCCTATAGGGTAGTGGTAAATTTAGAAAATTGTCGAATTATCTGGCACTTATTAAACCAAGAAAATGATTTTTTCCCAAGGTGTATTAGTTCTTACAGCATTACATATGGACAAGGATGTTTTCGATAATCTCATTTGCAGTGGTGAATATTTCTTATTTTTGAAAACATGGTTGTCAAGCTCTTTATGAGATCAGGAATGTTTCCATACTTCTGAAGGGAGTTCCAGTTTCACGTTGTCTCACATTCCTTCCTTCTTGTTGGCCATTTGCCTGGATGTGTGTGGAAAGATTTGCTTTGGATTTTCTGGCCAAATGAAAGTCCAAGATCTGAGGGAATTCTGCTGTCACAATCCCTAGAAGGTGATAGTTTTCTCAGGCAGAAACCTAGGACCTGTATGTCTGTGACAACAATAGCAGAGATAATTTTCCTTTTATGATCTCGATCTGACATGTAACTCTCTTTAGCACATCTCCTCTGGGAGCAACTGAGTGTGAGTAGCATGATTATTAAATGAATCACTAAGGTTCCCACCTTCCCATGTTTCAAGAGCAACTGAAACATAAATTGATTCTTGCTTTGATAAATTCTAAAAGATGTAGGATTTCTGATGGGTTATTCAAATTTACATCTTTAGAAAATAATAAAAAATAGATATTTACCTGAAAAATGATTATTTAACAATGATTTGTGCCATCTGATATTTACCACAGAATATGTGAAGTGGTTGTTATTTATTTGGAAGCTAGTCCCGAAGCTTATACTGACTTCTAGAAATTCTTGTAGGAAAGATAAAATCAAGGCATGAAAGGTCTTTTTTCATGTACCATGCAAAGCTATGCCTGTCCTTGCTGATGGGCATATGTCAGAAAAGTAAGGTTTCATCAACTGGAAGGCTTTCCACTTTATTACATAGCCATATAAATATAAAGTTAAAAAAAAATACCCAAAACCACTGCCTAAAGGCAACAAAGACATCTGAGAGTAGTAGGTACATTGAAGATACAGTAGTTATGTGATTTAGACATTCTGCATGGACACCAGTCAAGACTCAAACTTGAAAACAAGTTTTATAAGTTTTTAAACCAAAGTCCAACTCACTTTTTGCAGAGAAAACTCATAGCAGTAAACCCCAAATCTATCACATAAACAGACCAACGACCTACAGGAAATTTTTCTAATTCCATTTTGGCTAATTCCTTGACACTTGTAGACCAAACTCAACAATAACCTTTATTTTATTTTAACCTAATTATTATTTGAGAAAAAGGTAGTCACTAGACTTACGTGTAAAACTGTGTAATTGAACATGTTTAAAGTCCAAATTCACGTGTCCCCAAGACATGTTCATGTGCATTCTTTGTGTGAGGAAATTTCACCCAAAATGATAGCAGCTTTTCAGGCAGATTACAGCAGTGTCACTAGAGCAGCTATAGTCTATTTAAGGTTTAGAATGGGTGGACAGCAGTGACAGAGCAAAAACTTTGAAGGTCAGAGATATAATTTAAAGGCCACTATAAGGCTGGAAAAACAAAGGAAAGACAACTTCAGCACATTTATAAACTAATATACTGGGAGAAGTGTTTGAAAAATAGCTGCCATATGACTTGTCTCATTCATTATACAGCTTACAAATTCTGACACAGACAAACTGTGACTCCCACAAGGGAAGTTTTCCTGCTTCCATGGAAGGCCCATTCATTTTTGTGAACTGAAGTAAAGAAGTTAGGAAACATAAATTCTACGCCCATGTCTGTTTCACAGGCAGTAAACCTGCTGTGTACTGCAACAGCATATCAACTATTTGATAAGTTCTATAGCTTGCTCTTCTCTGGGAAGATGGGACCTGGCTAAGATAATTCATTGTGTTTGTGGCAAAGGCAGAAGGCAATACTCTTTGTCCTGATGGCAAGAAGGTAATCATGCAGGTTGTTCAAAGATGTTCAGTTTATATGCACTGGTTTATATTCATGTATGTATCTGCAGAATAATTTTATTTAATAATCTATTTACTGTATATTAGTCTTGTGCAACAGTAGTAAAACAAACCTGATGCTTGGGAAAAATTGGAAATTCTTCAGTACAAATATTTTGTTAAGCTAACCTCACACTTGAAAATCACTCTGAATAAAGCACCACCATTATCTAGCCTTCTTTGAATCTGTGATATTTCAGTTGCTCAAAGGAATGTCAAAATCACTAACAGTATGAAGGCAGCAGTTGTTCTGACAGCTGAAGCATGAACTGAATCTGTCTAGTGAAATTAGCCTAATATGGTCAAATTGCTTTTGCTTTTTAACTGTATATGGGCAACAGCAAAGACACTGTGTGTGGCTTCCACATCAATTAAGAAATGTATAATGGAATTACATAACAAATTGCAATGGCCATTAATAAACAAAAGGAAAAATACCTTTTAAATCAGAGCTGTTTTTTATTTTAATCAAAGCCATCACTGAAAGCCTTCATGGTTTGCATTTTTCCTTCTACCAAGAGTAATTAAACTTCTGCATGGAATTTTATTCCTCAGTAATGTATAGCTTAAAAAAATGCTTTGTTTTGCTTATTCAGTGTCGTAGTTTCAGGATTTAGCTTTGCTGGAAACCCCTCTGGTGAAGAAAATGAGTAATTTTTCTTTATTTAACAAGTAGCATGACACGGATCCATCTTGCATGTGAATGGAACAAGTAAATAATCAAAATATTTAGAAACTTGAACTAAATTATTTAAGCTAGATTTAGACTCTTCAAAAAATCATGGAACTGTAAGAATTGGTTTATTTTAAATATATATATTGCTCTCAATATCTTCAAATCTATTTTACACAACAGGATTCTCTCAGTAATTTCCTGATTTCTTTTCTGCTCTATGCGCTCTTCAGGTTTTTTGGCTGTTTTTTCCCCCTGAGAAAATCAAGGTCTTCATACATAACCTTCAACATATGAGAGAGAAAAGGGGAAAAAAAGTAATTTGACAACACAGATAAATTCATAAATTTTAAATGAAGTGGTGGTTGCATTAGGAATTGTAAACCTATCCTTTTTTATCATCTCAACATCCACAGAAGGATTTTTAACTATGTTTCTGATTATTAGAACCATGGAATGACTTGGGTTGGAAGCAACCTTAAAGATCTGATTCCAATCTCTCTTGCATGGGCAAGGACATATGCCACTAGACCAGGTTTCTCAGAATCCCATCCAGCCTGATCTTAAACACTTCCAGGGATGAGGCATCCACAACCTCTCTGGGAAACCTGTTCCTGTGGTTTGATACCCACACTGGAAAATACTTCTTCCTTATATCTAGACTTTCCATGTCATTGATGACGACATTAAACAATACCAGTCCCAGTACAGACCCCCAAGGGGCACTGCCCGTGGCTGATCTCCATTTGCCTGTTGAGTCACTGACCACTACACCCTGGATGCCAGCCAGTCAATGCATTATCCACCAAATATCTATCATCAACTCCACACCTCTCCAGCTTAGTGAGAAGGATGTTCTCACTTCCTGTGTTAAAGGCCTTACAGATGTACAAGGAAATGACATCTGTAGCTCTTTCAGATGTAGTCACTCCATCATAGAAGAATACTAAGTTGGTCAGGCACAACTTGCCCTTGGTGAAGTCAGTAGTAAATACATTTCTAATTAGTCCAAAGAGGGACATGTGCTAAGTGTTTTAACCAAGAAAATTGTTTTTCTATGGCTCGTTTCCTGCAAATCAGCAATCTGTGTCTTCATGGTTCTATTTTGACTGAGCTGTTGCCAGAGATGAAATACAGTAAAGAGACAGGCACTTAAAATCCAGTGACATTGTACATGACATGAACTCTTCCTTTCAAAAGATTCATGTGAATGCCCATATTCATCTAGGAGTTGACTAACCTTGATTCTGAAGATCTCAGCATTCTTAAATGTGATCAATACTTATTCCCCCATTAAATGGAATAGAAATTTCAATTTAGCATTTGGTATGCATCAGTGATGAACCTGGATTCCAAAATGAGTGATAAAATATAGCAGCCAAGACCAAGACCAAGATGGTCATGATGTAGCTATATTAGTTCTAGACCTACTGAATTCTGTTAGATCGTGGAAGTAGCTGCCATTACCTCTTGAGAACCCGAGTAAACACTCAGACAGTTAGATTTGATTAATATTCATGATGTCATAGTTACAGTGATGTCAACATATGAGCTGACCCATCTAGTGCCAGTACATCTATTTACAGTGTATTCACTGTGGTGTAGACTCACTCAAAGAACAGGTAAACACCAGGCCAACTACAGAGCACTATCTACAGCAACCGTCATCAAATCTCTAAGTATATTTTCTGGCCATAATGTTCAATCAGAGATTAGAAGTCTCTGTCTTTTTGCAAATATTAACTTAGGTGAACTGAGCAATGGGACTAGATAATGGATTATAATTCATCATGACAAGCCTGAAAGTTCAGCAATTTTTTATCCTTTTTTCTTTTTGAACACTGTCTCCAGGTTTATTGCATATCAGGAGCACAGATGACATATTCTATTTTTCCAGATTTGATTATGTTTCACATATATCAATAGCTAATTAATTTCCTTCTAAAAGTGAAGAGTTATCAGAGTGAAGAAGAATTTTGAATAGACTTATCCCATGTCACCACTGTTGACATCCTAGACTTCATACGATTTGCAAGGCAGTGAGTATTCTCTTTAGCTACTCCAGAAAAATAACACCTTATATCTGAGAGCCATGCTAGCACAAAAATATGTTTTTCAGAAGCATAATTCTGCAGAAAGATAACTTAGATGAGAAAAATGTATAGTCATGAGCACCACAGAGAGGAAACAAAGCTGCAGTGAGAGTGCCTGTGGGCTATGGGCTCAGCAACCTTAGAATAGAAAACTGTCACTGTTTTCTTCAATTTCAAGTGCTTATTATCCTCAAATTGTACTTTTCCACAGCAGAGAAATATAATGAAGATTGCTGTTGATGAAGATGACACTGTAATGACAATGTCACTTAAGCTGTGTTTATAAGACATCAAGAACTGGCAGCAGCAAATGCAAATGTTAGATGTGCAAATGTTATTGCAAACTGCCAAAATACTGTGAAAATTGGCAGATCAGTTGTTAGAATCTGCATCTTTGGGAGTTTGCTGAATTAGAAATACTTTACTACACAACCAGACTTCTGTTTTCTATTCCTGAATAAAGACTAGGTAATTTTTATGTTTTCATTTATATTGTCCCTTGGGTTTTCCGTACTCAGATGGTGAGAGGTAGTCCAAGAAGGGAGATGTCACTCCTTTAAGAACAAATTCATGTCACTCCAATAAATTTCTGTGTATTTGTATAAAGAAGGTTTGTATTTCCATTAATATTTCTCTCTACCTAGAACCTTTGCTCCCACTGACTTGTCTGCTTCAGCAATAATTTTCCAAGAGTACATCTACCAATGGGAATAAAAGATGTGTATAATAGCACATAAAGTCAATATTGAGGAAGCTAACCTAGACTAAATCCCAATAATTTTCTAACTTTTCAGAGAAATTAAGCCACATTTTCTACCTCTTTCCTCCTTGAACAAAGAAAGCAATGATGTTGACTATGTAAACAATATATATGGGCCTGAAGAAGAACTGCTTATGATAGTTGAGACACAGTTGAGCTTTTTATTGTATCTCTTCTGGGAATCTACTGAATGAGAATAAAGTTGCTATCTTTCCATATGCTTTTTATCCAGATGAAATTATTACATACTGGACAAAACTTGTTTTATAGGGTTGAAATTTCTTACATGAGGATAGATGTTGAGGTGGCATAACTAACTGCAGAAAGTACTGAAAAATGTAGTAACACAGACCAATATAATGTCATATTTGCTCACTTTGCTTATTAACTTCAAAAGTTGTGCTAAAAAAATGAGTGAAGTAAATAAATTTGTGTGTAAGATTTGTAATCTCTTGTAATAACTGCATTTCTCACATTACCTATGAGCTGTGCTTTCACTGACTTACATTTTTTCAGTTATCACATAGCAAAAGACAAAACCATAGTCTGTGGATGAGATCAGAATGTATAAAAACCTTTGTTGAAGCAGCTCTATTTATATGCTTCACATAAATCTTAGCAGTTTTAGATATAGTAACAACATGCTTCATTTTACATAATTTTCTTGTCACGTTAATTTTGCACTTGTGTTTCCAGATAAAGATGATTATAGCATCAGTAACATCAGTATCTCCCACAAGTCAAACTACTTACATTGGTTAGGTGTGATTTAAAGGTAAGAAGACCTTCATTGTGTCTCCCTCTTTTAGTTCTTTCTATTCTTCTAACTGACACAAATAATGGCTTCTGAAAGAAGAAGGAAAATAGGTTAACAATAACCTCCCAGGCAGGAATTCTAATGAGATTCAAACTTGTCCCAGTCTCATCTTCATTTCCTTTCCTGGCAGGTCTTATTGCTTATATGTTTGATGTCTTTCATGAAATGTTTCTTCAGAAATTATTTTTTATAGGACATGATGCACACAAAAGAAAAGAGAGAGGGAAACCTTGATTAAAAATTCTGTAGTTGTGTTCAATTTGTGTTTTATACATCTCAAGACTGATTTCTTCATGTGAATTTCCTGGATAATTTTAATATTTTTGTTTCAAGGCTACTAGCTTTTAAATCTCAAAATCCTCATTTTGGAATAATTTAATTCCTGTCTCATGTCTCAGTTTCCTTTTATACATTTGTTAGTGATGAAGTGTTCTGTATTACATCAATTACCTTGTATAGATTTTTTCCTTCCAAGCTTCATTTCATTGAGTATGCAATATCCTGTTACCTATTCATACTGCTCAGAAGGAAGTCTGACAATGAACTTCACATTTGTAACCAGCTCTTGTAGCTGAAAAATCTGAAGTAAATGATACTAAGAATAAAGACTTTCTCTTTCTAGAGCAGCTTTTAGTTTATTTCTGTCACACTTTTTTTTTTTAAGTGAAGGTATTATCACAAGTAATTTTAATGTTTAGTGCTATTCTTTGCATTCTTGCTGGTTCTGGCAAGTATAGTCTAGGGCTGTAACAATATTATGCCTCAGTCAAATATAAGTCAGATGATATGACAAGTGGACTTTAAAAAAATGACTATTAAATAATCCAAAATGTGCACTCATTTTTATTTTTTTTCCTTCTATTATTCCTATCTTGTAGTCCACATCATAACAGGAGACACTTTCTACCAAAGATCAACACGACAAATTGTTGTTCCCATAACAAATTGAGACTGAGACAAAACCAACAAGCCTCAGTTCCGAGGCCTTTAAATTTCATACAAAAGCCATATCATGGCAATGACAATGGTGTACTTACTGGTCAATGGGGCTACAACTTTAGCCAAGAGAGGTTGGACCTCCCATCCCTGGAGGTGTTCAAGGCCGGGCTGGATGAGTCTCTGAGCAACCTGGTCTAATGGAAGGTGTCTCCACCCACAGCAGAGGGGTTGGAACTAGATAATCTTTAAGGTCCTTTCCATCCCAAACCATTCTAGGAGTCTAGGATTAGGAAACATCGTCATTGTTCCACTGTATTAGCACTTGATATATACTGTGCATTTCAGAAGCATGGAATACATTCTCTATTTCTCCTGCCTATCAACAAATTTCTTACTATCTCCTTGCCTCTGGCCTTCCATTGAATAGGTTTGATTAATGGGCAGTGAAAATGCTTAAGGAACCATATTAAACTTACACACATTTTTCAGAGATCTTGCAACAGAGCTAAACTTTTTGCTCACAATTAACTCAAAGTAATAAGTTTTCTCATATTTCTCATCTGATACAAAATAGAATTTATACAGCATCATTGATTCAATGATGACCTAGAATATATAATATCCTGAAAATTTATACTGAATGAATCTGGGGAGTATCAGTAGCAAGTCCTTGTACCTCCCTTCCTAGGTTTTTTTAGTATTCTTAAGGAGAAAAAGGAATTTTTAATTTGAAAGGAGAACTGTTTCCTCCAGGTGTTTGGAAACACATATTGCAAGAAGACATACCTTGCATTCCTCTTATTTTCTTATAGTAGCATATGTCCATTTCCTATTTAGGAAGCAATGAATGCCCGAGCTCTCAAAATCTCCAAATATTATAATTGCTGTAGCCTGTTTACGAGCCTTCTTCAAATATGGTAAGTTTGAAATAGTAAAACTTAGAAGCTCAGTACTTTTCCTGAATAAGTGCAGAGCTTTTCTAAAGCTCAGCCATTTTCTTCCAGACCATAAACAAGAGAAGGAAGAGTTAATTGAATATGGATGTCTCAGTTCAGATAGGAAGAATTGACTATTCTAAAAAGGCAATGTACCCAAAAATAGTGGATCAAGCTAGTGTATAATACACACTGTTTAAAACACAGTGAGTCTCTCCAGGAAAATAAATAACAGAAGTAGTATTCTTAGTAATTCAAAATTTTTTCCTGGATCTTTACTAGAAAGCCATTGTGTACCTGATGAGATGCTTCACCTCTTACACAAAGTTCGAGTAGTGATTCTAATTTTTTTTTCTCCCAGTCTGAAGAATTGCAAAATGCTTTTGACTTACAGGAAAAACCTTTAGTGTCTTATGACATATAATAATGTCAGATAGACGTTACTAAGGTAGTAATGAGTCACACACACATCATTTTTGGTTCACACCACAGGTAACACAGACACTTGGCATGAGATTGACAGGTTCTGTTAACAGCTGGAGAAAAGAAAAGGAATTATCAGGTGTGTCTCCATGTACACATCCCCTCTCTCTTCTCCTATTTTCCCTATGGCTGCCACACAGTATGGGTCTGGAGCCAGTGACTCACTTGGGAAATCTTGTTACTCAGTCACTCAAGAGTTTCATTAGGGAGATTATTTAATTTGTTAAGAAAGACTTGGTTAATAAAGTATTGATTTTATTTGTAAGTGTGTGGAGAGCCCTGATAACGAATTGATTTTAGGATACAGGATGAAACAGCAGTCAACAGTAGAGACTTTTCATAAATGAAATTGTAACTTGCTCTTTTTATTTAAAATATGTGAGGAGTCTTTCTGTATCAGGTATCATCTTTTTTAATATTTGTGCCTCAGAATTAAACTTGCTTGAATTGAATTTGTTGCTCTGAAGTGGGCCTCATATATATCCTGCAGAGTGCTTAGCTCAGGACCAGAGGGACACCCTTATGATATAGGACTATTTAAGTGTCCTGATGTGGAATTGGCAGATCCCTGGGTCAGAGGCTATGATAGAAGGTTCCTGTTGTGGGGTGATGTAGTTGAGGAGCCCCCATTCCCTTCAGTCTTTCCTGGGAGGGATTAGAATCCTCATAACCCTGCACTGTAAATCCATCCCATAATCAGCTTTTCAAACAACCCAGATGCTTTTGAAGAAAGTACAGCTTTCTAGTATTTTGCCTTATGTATCTGTTGATTGTGGAAATATTCCATTCACAGTTTTGCTAACATCTGTGTGATTTGACTAAAAGATCCGAAGAAAACACAGACTTTTTTGTTTCTTCTTCCTTTACAGCTACTTGGTCAGACCAATCACATAAATACAAGCCTTGCAGCTCTATCCAATGGTGTTATAGCCATGCCAAGCAAAGGAGGATTTCCCTCGCTTCTTGGAAGAAGACCCTGATAATTAATTCCCTTCGTAGCCCTTGTATCCATGCTTCTTCTCCACTTGAACATTATTAACTTTAATTTTTTAGTCTCTTCTATTCAAAAGCACCTAAAATCAGGATCAGTTTATTGTAATAAAAATGTTTTTACTGCACTGCTGTCACTATTGTATTTTGGGGATACAATGCTGCCCTTCTCTTAATTGTGACAGGGCAACTAATGACTCATTCAGAAACTGACTGTCTCTCAACTAAGCACTCAGTAACATTCTCCCTTACAAATACATATCAGCTGAAAATTTTGAAAAGAACTTTTCTAAAAACAGCATTGGAGTGATATATATTGCCAAATGGAGTCTGTTCAGAAATATTTTATGCTAATTTATGAAGCTGTTTGCTTCCTATAAGCATTAGAAATCTTTCACATTTACAGCAAATGAATGAAGAAAGGGATATTGATCTGAGTTAGAACACCTTTCTCTTTGGGAGACATTCACAGAATTCTGGGAAAAAAGACAAAAATCTTTCAAGTGAAACTTGAAACAATTTTTTTATTCATCATCACTTGCTAAAAACTAGTAATATTAACACAGTTGAGTGAGTCTATCTTATGCTATCTATTGAGTCTATCAAATTATTTGGTCCATTTAGTCCATTAGGGTTGTTGGTTTTGAATTTTTTTTTTATCATATGTATTATTTATACTTTTCTACTGTGAATCTTGGATCAGAAAAGTTGTTAGGCTTTTACCTTCATAAATCTACAGATATTTTATGAAGTTTCAGAATCTGATGTAGTTTTAGAAATTCCTTGTGTTGTTATTATAGGAAATTTTGACCTTCAGTAATCAAAAACCACTCAGATGTATTTTTCTTGATTGCTATTAATTTGCCATAATTGGTTTCAAATTATAATTTTAAGTAAGTTTTTTTGAATTTGATGGCTCATGGTAATTCTGAAGATTGAGTTTGAAGAAGTTCATTGCAACTTAAAATGCACTCAACACTTTGTTGGATTTTTACTTCCAGGAGAAACTTTTATCTGACACTTAATGTTGCCTTCATCTTTTGACAGCGTTTGTACTCAGATTGCACTATTTCCCTAGAGTTGGAGACAATATTATTGAAAAATTACTGCTTTTTTCTATCTCTTGTCAGTAATGAGAAAGCTTGAACATAGGCTCCAGTCTCTCCCCAACCCCTCTTTAGGTTTAGAAGAGGTAGAATTTCACATGTACAAGGCACTGAAAAACTGTGTTTAGAATAATGGCCAAACATAATCCATGGAAGGGGATGATGCTCTCTGTGTTATGGAAAGGTCATGTCAGGGTCCACAGATTACAAAAAATATGGAAAGAAATCTTAGACAAATGGCTACTAAATAGGTCTGAGAATGGAGACAGAAGTTCACAAAAGCCACAAAGTGCTCTATTGCTGTCACTGCTGGATTTCCAATGGAAAATTCTCAAACTCAAGAAGATTAGGTGCACTATGTGTAAAACTCTGATCCCAGTCCTGATCATTGGTTTAGGTTTAACACAGCAATGAAGTATTTAGTGGAAGCTCTTTGCTTTGTGAGGGATAGCACAGGAAAACATGCTGTGATGAAACAGATGACAGAGTGATTGCAATGGGAAAAATAAATGTTACACATTTAGTATGCAGTAAGCAATTCTGTCTTATCTAACTGTCTTGTAAATGTTGAAAACTTTTTCTTCAGTTTTTAATTTCACTATCCAGGTGTGACAAACCAACCTGTGAAGAACAACTATGGCTGCAAATTGATCACATGAGCTTTCGGAAACTAGAAAAATGCTATTGATTTCCTTTCTGTTTCATACTATGTTCTCCCTCAAACCTGACTGTATGAGTCAACCCAAGGGCAGCAGCAGTAGCAGCCTTGTAAAAGTTTCAGTTTCAGGAGTTATTTTCTTGATCTTTGGCTTTTCCCAACAATATAAATACTGAAGCATCAACTTTTATGTTTAATGTCTTTATATAATTTACAAGTGGTTTTGCTACAAGCAAGCTAATTGTATGACTTAGATAGGCATCCTGAAGTCTTCCAAATACAGAGCAACCCAGCATAAAAATGATCTTACAAAACCTTGTTGAAAGTTTTGGTCCTGAGGAGGTGTCAATCTTCTCTCACTTCAGTCATATCTCTAAGTAAAGCCTGAAATGAAGGTTTGCTGGAAGCAAGTTTGGTATGTGGCAGATCTCCTCCAAGGTAGGAAGCACAAATGTTTCCCATGTTTTCAGTTTCATAGCCACCTTCTTACTATACTCAGAAACAAATCTCAGTTATATATCAATGTTAATTTTTTTCTTAGTGGAATTATTTATTAATTTAGTTATCAAACAGATATACATGATCTCTAATGTACCACTGGGTCAATGATCACCACTTAATAAAATATCAAGCTGGATTTTTTTAGAGAAATCATCACCTTATTTTCCCTTTTGTGTTTTCTATTTTAGTGTATTTGCATATATGTATTTTATTTGTAGTTGCATGCACATGTCCCAGCTATATAATTTTTAATCTTGCCACTTCTGTTCTGAGAATTTATTTTTCTTCTCCTACTCATCCACTACTAATAAAAATTATAAGCAAACATCTCTTGTTCTTTTGCCTACAAATAAAAAGGGATTAAATTGTCAAAGGAAGAAGCGAGCTGCTCTAGTCCAGAAAACTGTAAGCTGAATATGTGATCACACTATTTACTTTTAACTACAAAACCAAACCAAAATCAAATCAAACCAGACAAAAAAATAAAAAATAAAAAAATAAAGAGAGAGAGAGAGAGAAGAAAAACAACAAATATTGCTCTTTGTAATCTCATTTTACTGAGGCACAAGAGGGCAGTATTTCATAAATGCTATCCTGTCATTTGTTCACCATTGTGACAAATCCTGGACTGACATTCATCTAGCATTGGAATAACATCCAAAAGATTGGCATTTAGTGCAAATAGCTCACTGGAAAAGAATCCTAGTTATAAAAGTTAGAAAGGCTTCAAAGCAGTACATTAGACTATTCCAACCTTGTGGAAATTTCTTAAACACTGGTGATCTTACAAGGAAATAGCAACGAAAAATTATTTTCATAGAGAAAAGTAAGTATTGTTAACTTTCTTTTGATAAGAGAATATGAAAGGCTATGCTAGGAAAGAGCCAGACAAAGGAAAAGACCAATATAAGCTTTATAAAACACATTTTTTTAAAAAGTCTGTAAGTCTGTGGATGTGTGTGTGTTTTTATGCATATGTGCTTGTGTGTACACCTGTACTCAGGAAGAAACAGAGAGAGTGATACACATATGAAGACTGAAGAACATACAAATATACAAAAGTTAATGGCAGAAAAAAATTGGGAGTTATGCATGGTCCCTTACTTCAGGAATCTAATCTAAATCTTTCTTTTTTTGTGTCTCTCAGCTAGTTTATGCAATTCCTCACTCAACAGTTTTTTGACGATTCCTTCCATAAGGGTCAGATGTTCCTTTGCACCTTACTGGGGTCTGTGTATCTGATTTAAGGCAGTTACAGGAGGAAGTGTCAGATGTATTTCAGACAAACATCCAGCTCCTGCTTACAGAGCTAAGTCCCCTGCTCAACACTCATTTTGATAAATAGTTTACTGAGCCATATCTTGACCTTGGAATCAAACTGTCTCACTCTGTCCTAAAGTCACTTCCTTGGCTTGAAACCATGCATTTATTCTACACAAAAATAGATATCAGTCAACCTCTTCCACTAGTCCATTTAACACCACAAAAGCAGCTGGTATACTGCCCTTGAAGTATTAATTTTTTAAAATGGATGTGCACACATCTTTTTTACTAATCCATTAGCGTCTTTGTTTTGGCATAGATAGGATGCAACGCATTTCCTAGATCAAGAAAAAACATCTTCAGTTATGACTAAATCAACTATCTTGCAGTAAAATTAGTTCAGTAATATAAATTATAACTGAAAAAAGGGATAGTTTTTTATGGTATAATAAAGTTAGCAGTGAATTCCTCTTGTGCTGGCTGGTTCTCTTTGCTCTAACATAGCTAAAGGCTGAAGTAATATTTATCTATATATGATGTGAGTTGTTCCCCAGCAAATCGTAGACCATGATATGTGACATGTTCCCAGACTTTGTCATGTAAAAACATAATCTTGAGGCTATTTATGACACTTGAGATAGAAAGGTCAGATGTGTGTTCAATTTCTAAGTATCTGTAAAAGCTTCAAAGTGCATCCAAGCGCTTCTATCTCTGCAACTCACAGCTGTCAGTCTGTAATTCTTTCCAATGTCCAATGCAAATTAAGAGCACTCTGTACAAGCAAGCAAAACTTCTTGGCTAATCTCTCTATTTGCTATAAACTCCTTGTTATATTTCATTCTCCAAGACAATGAGGCAGGCATTCTTTTCTATTCTGAGCTACTGACATTGTACAAATCTTGTGAGTGTTCCCCCTCTGCATACAGGCTGCCTCTGCAAAGTAATTTGTTTCTGGGCTGGACAAAACCACTTGGAGAAAGGAAAAGTACACAGTCCTAAGTAAAGTAAGCTAAGTAATTTTCCTCTAAGGGTGTCAAACCTGAGCCAGGGAAACATGCACACTTTCCATACATACCAGTAATTATACATATGATTTTTGTCCAAATAGAAACATGCATGATTGTCTGAAGATGTCCACACACAACACTGTATCCTCAGTTTCCAAGCACTGAGTTGTAATGGTAACTCCTGTAACTGCTTCACATTTCATGGACAGGCTGAATGAGGTCGAAAGAAGAACCACAAAGATTAATAAAGAATCAGGAAACCTGCCATCCAAGGGAAGGCTGAGAGCTGGGCTGGTTAGGCCTGGAGAAGAGAAGCCTCAAGGAAGACTTTATAACCATGTTCCTGTACATGAAGGGTGGCTACAGAGAACTTGGAGACCTTCCTTTTTCCAAGGAGTCACATGGAGAAGACGAGGCATAGTGTGAACTAGTTCTTCCTGGGGAAATTCCAGTTGGACACAAGAGGAAAATTTTCGTGAGAACAATCAGGCACTGAAATAATCTCCCAAGGGAAGTGGTGGGTTCCACAGCACTGGATGCTTTTTAAGACCCAGCTGTACAGAGTGCTGGGCCCCTTTGTCTAGACCATGCTTTTTGCCGAGAAATGTTGGTCCAGATGATCCTTGATGTCCCCTCCAACCTGGTATTCTGTGATTATCTATATACTTGCATAATTAACATATCTCAGGGATAATTTTATTAAATA